TCTTCTGATTTTTGTCTGTAGGGATAACGCTTCTATTAGCAATATCTTTCAGGACCCTTTCCTCCGTTTTATGAGCTGTGGAAAAGAAGTTCCTGTAAAATAGTTTAATAGGGGGGTACAGGTGTTGTGTTAGTTGTCTTTTCAGAGGTTGCATGGCGTTCACCTTCCTTCTTATGATGTCTTCAACGAAACCAAAGGTCTTAGTCGACATGAACTTGAAACCAGCCATATACTGCAGGTATGTTGACGACATTTTTACACAGGTACCTGATGTCAGACATCTGCAGGAGCTGAAGGAGGCATTTGAGTGGAATTCTGTGTTGCGTTTCACTAACGAGATTGAGAAGGATGGGAAGCTGCCCTTTCTAGATGTAACAGTAATGGAAAGGAGCGGAGGTTTCCACACTGCAGTCTACACTAAGGAAACAAACATAGGAATGTGCCTCAATGCCAACAGTGACTGCCCAGAAAGGTACAAGAGGAGTGTCGTTAACGCTTATGTCGACCGTGCTCTCAGCCACAGCTCAGGATGGAAGCAAGTCGATGAAGAACTCTGTAGGGTAAGGCAGGTCCTAGTCAACAACGGCTTCTTCAATGGTTTCGTTGAAGACATCATAAGAAGGAAGGTGAAACGCCATGCAACCTCTGAAGAGACAACTAACACAACACCTATACCCCCTATTAGACTATTTTACAGGAACTTCTTTTCCACAGCTCATAAAACGGAGGAAAGGGTCCTGAAAGATATTGTTAATAGAAACGTTATCCCTACAGACAAAAATCAGACGATACAATTGACGATTTACTATAAAACCAAGAAAACGGCCAATCTACTCATGAGAAACTCTCCAGACACAAAGCAGAACGCTTTAAAAGAGACCAATGTCGTCTATGCCTTCAAATGCCCGCTTGGGGACTGTAAGCCTCAAAGAATTCAGTATATAGACAAGACAACAACATCTCTTTCCAGGCGATTAACGATGCATAAGCAACAGGGCTCCATTAAGGAACCTATAACCTCTTCCCACAACCAGAAAAGTCTTAACAAAAAACACGGAAATCATCGATAGATACAGCGATAGCAGGCGGCTTAATATCTGTGAGGCACTACACATTAAGAAGTCGACACCAGCAATCAACAGCCAATTAATGCACAACTATATTCTACCCACTTCAAGACTCTGCACCAATATAGAAGCATCAAGAAATATGGGCCAATAGGCCCTTTGCAGTTACTTCCATTCTTCCCTTTAACTTACAAAATATTATACCCATTGTTTCGTGTTCTGTCTTGTGTTGAAAGTTTGTTTTCACCTCATCCAAAACTGTTGTAACATATCACCTCACCCAAATTCAGGTATAAAATCAAAGCTATTTAAACTCTATTTAGTGTTTGCATGTTATAGTTGTGTGTGTGTAAACTAAAGTCTTTGAAAATGTAATAAATTATTACAAAACGCGTTCAAGTGTCGCGTCAGACTAGAAATAAAAATGAATTTTGGAGAATTGATTTTTCAATTACCATCAACAGTGAAAAGAAATATAATAAATATTGAGAAAATTGACGTTAGAATTATTAATCCTACTTTTTCGGTCATATTTAATAATATATGTCTACAGGAAAGACTGCTACCAAAATATACTATCTCGTAAAATTCAATATACTTAGTCCCTGTCAGTTTGGCTTCCGTTCCCAAAAGAGTACCAAAAATATAATTATTAGTCTGCTTGACTTTATCAAATCAGCCCTTGACAAAAGTGAATTTCCGATTAGTCTCTTCATTGACTTGAGAAAGGCTTTTGATACTGTTAACCATAACTACCTCTCATTTAAACTCCACCATTATGGAATCCGTGTATAATGTAAACATTGCCCTGAACTATATCCGATCCTATCTTAGTGACAGACACCACTATGTAGCCATCAATGATGTAGCCTCTCCTACTCTTCCACAAACCATACGGGTGCCACAAGACAGCATGATAGGATCCCTTCTGTTTCTTATATACATCAATGATCTGCCTAATGTCACTAACATGCTTAAACCTATTTTGTTTGCTGATGATACTACTCTCATCTACTCTGACCCCAACCAACTCATATTAAATAATGCTGTAAACAATTAATTAAAAAAATACACTTTTGGATGTCAAGCAACAAGCTCACACTAAACATAGAAAAGACCTACTACATCTTATTTGGAACCAAATCAACAAATGCAATTGAGATTCAGATAGATAATGTAAACATTAGCAATAAAAATGATGGAAAGTTCCTTGGCCTATACCTAGACAAAAGATTCAACTTCAGCACCCACATTCAACACATAACGAAAAAGGTTTCTAAAACAGTTGGTATACTCTCTAGGATCAGATATTATGTCTATCCCCCTATCTTACCTATGGTATCTGTGCTTGGGGATTCAACCTCTGCAAACTACCTCAAGCCCATCATCACCCAGCAGAAATCTGCTATCAGGATAATAACAAACTCTGCTTTCAAACAACACACAGCTTCCCTGTTTAAATCCTTAAACATGTTAAACATAAATTCACTCCATACATTCTCTTGTGTCAATTACATTATTAAAAACACTTTTTTAAGTGCAAACCCTGTTCCGAAACCCTTCCTGGACAGATGTAATAGAACATATAATCACCACACCAGACATAAATGTCTCTTTGATATCCCCTGAGTCAAACTAAATCTGTGTAAACACTCTATGCAAATAAAGGGACTTAGTTTATGGAACTCACTCCCTAATGAATTTAAAAGCTGTCCAACTTTTGCCTTATTCAAAAATATAACAAAAACGTACCTAATTTCATCTTCATTGTCTTCTACCTCGAGCTTTATCTTCGTTCTGTTTCTAATGCTATCGAATCACCCATTCTTTGTACCTAAGCCATATTCTTTACCGTTGTAATCGTAGATCATCTGATATCATGGTTGTTTTATTGTGTGGATATTTTACTACATTATTCCTTGTAATGATCCTCATATTGTGCCTCAGTGACCCAATGTATAACCCTGAGATGTTTTCCTAATTGTACCTAGTAATCCTTGTTCATTATTGTGTATTGTTATTATTGAGTATTATTCTAATCTGCTTTGGTGTCAAAAATTCTTGCAATGTAGCTGTAAACATTTTCTTTCTTTCAATTTTACTGTAATTATTATTTTTAAAATCATCTGTATTTGTAAAGCTGTAAAGTACCTGTAAACATTTTTTGTCAATTTCACTGTTAATTCTCTAAAAATCATCTGTTAGTTTAAGGATTTGCTCTAAGGTTAGTTTAATGATTTTCCCAAAACGCTATGCGTGCTAGTGGCTTTACAATAATGTAATTTCAACTTAAACTCTATGTTCTCTGTTAACCCCCCAATGTGCCTTCTTGTATATATATAAATAAATAAAAAATATATATATATTGATAACCATATATTGATAACTATATATCCTATAACAATATATCGATAACAATATATCTGATAACAATATATCAATAACATTATATCCGATAACAATATAGTGTTGACCACTCTTGTCTTCGTTTACATTTATAGTCTCCCATCCTCCATCCTGCCTAGAATTTAATCTGCATTGTACGTGGACGAACACTCCATGTGCTGCAACTGGGGTGATTTCTCCCTTCATCACCAGTTCCAGCTTGAGCTTCATATCGTGTCGTCCTGAGTATGGCTTCGGGGTTTCTACACTAAAGAATTGTGCTATGACTTTCAAGAAAGCATGTCGCTTCTCATCCAACGTTATTCCTTCAATACCCCATTCTCATTTGTGCCTTGACTGCTACTCCTTGTGCCTTTCGCCTTGCCAGTGCCTTGACTGCAACTCCTTATGCCTTGCGCCTTGGCAGTGTCTTGACTGCTACTCCTTGTGCCTTGCGCCTTGCCAGTACCTTGACTGCTACTCCTGTTGTGAGCTCGATTCCCTCTCCCTTTCGTTCTTTTATTGCCAGGTTACCTGTTTACAGGACTCACTCTTGGTCCTCGTCAGCAATGTGATCCCACGTGTTCTTTCTACTTTGCCACTTATATGCACCTTTCCCCAGAGACGAGTGTTTTTACGGCGAAGTTCTATGCACTTATGTTTCATCGTTACATTTTGTGCACCAACGTTCTTTTGTTATTGTGATTGACTCCAGCAGTAGTGCTCTAACCCTTCCCATTCTGTGGTGATTAAACTCCAGTACTGGCTCTTCCTCTTCTTCAGCAGGTATATGGCAGTTAAACTTTGTCAAGTCCTCACCTATAAAGGAGTTGCCTCTACTAATCTCTCAGATGTCATTGGTGAGAAGGCCATCCATATCTGACCGTCTCCAGAAAGTGACAGCCTTATTCGGATTTCGTACGTCTCACACCACATTCCACATCCATTTGGGTAGTCATTGATGGAGTGTTACAAGTCATAATCTATGTAGTATTAGGTGTAATCGATCCTAATGACCCTTTCCCTGCCATCATAATAGGTGGGGAAAGGAATGTGGCTAGGCTGGAAGAGTATTAGCTACTCTGACTTTCCTCAAGGGTCCGCAATAGAACCATAACCTACACCTTATTGTCTTAACTGCATTGTCCCACTTACCGTCGCGCAACGTCTCGAAAAATATCCTATTTTTCTGAATGTTTGGAAATGTTTCTTTCCCAATGTCCTGAATCGGTTGTCCCTCGATAAAATCCTTGGTGAATTCAATATTTTTAATGTTACTCGTCTTATGTCCTTTTGCTCTCTGGTTGGCATCTTGAATGATATCTAGGAATTGTTGACTGTTTTATTCCGCTTAAGTTTGAAACCGAAATATGAACATTTATGTGATATGAGCATAGCTCGAACATCTATTTATCATACCCACTAGACACACTAACATTCACCTAGCTTCCGTGAAAACAGAACATTCACATAGTCTGTTTATTGCTCAAAATATCACCTTGGCTGTTCAATACTGCCGCTTCACACTTTCACTCACTCTCTCCTCAGAAGCACGCCCGCCCCATGTTCTACATCAACTGTGGCTACCGTGACCTTTGCTACTGCTACAGTAAGATCACCCGCCATCACTACTGCTGCTCCTGCGACGTGGGCGCCTGCTTCCCCGCCCACGCCCGCGTCACTACGCCCACAGGCTCCACTACTACCATGGAGCGTCTCAAGACTGGTGACCAGGTGCTGGCAGGTGAGACGCGAACGAGGGAGGAAGTGAGGGAGGGAGGAAAAAATATAGCGAGCTAGCGAGAGTGATAAAAAGAGAACAAGGAAAAAAAGCAGAGAGGAAAATAAGACTAAACAGTTTAGGGCGCAGAGAAAGTGTCAAGGAGTGAGTGAGGTGTTCGCTCCACTGTATTGAGACCACGGTAGGTGTTCGCTCCACTGTATTGAGACCACGGTAGGTGTTCGCTCCACTGTATTGAGACCACGGTAGGTGTTCGCTCCACTGTACTAGGACCACGGTAGGTGTTCGCTCCACTGTACTAGGACCACGGTAGGTGTTCGCTCCACTGTATTGAGACCACGGTAGGTGTTCGCTCCACTGTACTAGGACCACGGGAAGTGTTCGCTCCACTGTACTAGGACCACGGGAAGTGTTCGCTCCACTGTACTGAGACCACGGTAGGTGTTCGCTCCACTGTACTGAGACCATGGGAGGTGTTTGCTCCACCGTACTGAGACCATGGGAGGTGTTTGCTCCACTGTACTGAGACCATGGGAGGTGTTTGCTCCACTATACTGAGACCATGGGAGGTGTTTGCTCCACTATACTGAGACCATGGGAGGTGTTTGCTCCACTATACTGAGACCATGGGAGGTGTTTGCTCCACCCTACTGAGACCATGGGAGGTGTTCACTCCACTTTACCTGGACCGGTGGAGGTGTTCACTCTATTTTACCTGGACCGGTGGAGGAGTTGGCTCTACAGTACCGTGGCCGGTGGAAGTATCCCTATACCGTATGAGGGCCGGTGGAGGTGTCTCCTCCACCATAGCGGAGCTGGTGGAGGTGTTCACCCTACCTTATCAAGGGAATGGTTGAGGTGTTCGCTTCACCGTACCAGGACCGATGAAGGTGTTCGCTCCACTGTACTGGAGCCAGTAGAGGTGTTCTCTCCACCGTACAAGGATCGGTGAAGGTGTTCGCTCCACCGTATCAGGACAGGTGGAGTTATTCTTGTCTTTGTCCTTCACTGAGATTTTGTTACATTCTCGCCTGTAACTTTTTTCAGTCATCTGTTAACTTCTACTCCTCGATCTTTTTGTTTTTCTCCTATTCGTTTTTTTCTTGATATCACTTCTTCGTTTGCTCTTTCTACATACTTTTCGTCTTATGTTTTCTTCCAATGTCTGCTTCTGTGTCGAGGTGGCGTTCAATAAGGTAGATAGGAAGTTGTTCACCATTTTCTCCGTTTCCTGCACGTCCAGTCTTCTTGCACCTCGCTCCCTTCTTGTTCACCTACCCTACAGGACGCTGGTCATCACCACCTCAGGCTATACCTTCTGTAGCCCAAGGAAACACATTTCTTTGTTAGACTTTCTTGGTTTTCATTATCTGTTCAGTAATTTTCCTTTACAGAATAAGTTATGTATTCATAGCCGCATTTAAGAGAGTGCCTCTTATTCTCTTAGTTTCTCTAAAGTGTTTTATATAGTCATAATAGCTTGGCGCTTTCCCCTGAGAGTTCAATTCAATTAAATTCTCTCAAGTGTTGTAGCACAACTGACATCCTTGTGAATATTTAAGTTTTATTTGCAATGTATTTTCTACGAATGTAAGTTATATTTTCCTATGAAATGCTTATGGCACTACCTGGAGATATAATATTTTAGCCCATATGCTTTTTTTTTCAAAGTTTACTGTCTGGTCTTATGTCTCAGGTAAGACTCGGAACTACTTTCACTGCCTTTTTTCGACAACATGAAGGTGTTATCCTGGATAATGTTTTATGCACTATTCTTTACCTGGTTGCACTTAACGATCATCCTTCCTCTAGATGAAGCGCTCTATATGGACCACCTCTCTATTTGTTAGCGACAGGTTCAACCAGTCATGCCTACAAGCACTTTTCAGGGAAACATATGATATCTATTATTATTCCAATAAAGGAGAATATCTGTCTATTCAAAGTAGGCGGCTGTAGACGCTTGGGGCTAGCCTCATGAACCTTTGCTGGGTAAAGGGTCTGGATTCAGGTCAGTACATAGGGTGGTCGTGGTCGATCTCCATGTCCCCCTTTATTGGGACAAATTACACAAATTTTCAAGATCGTTAAATAAAAAAAAAACATCCTCTCTAAGATTCATCTCTCATTTTAAATGTTAGGATGGAAGGTGAAGAAGGGTTGTGAAAGATAGGGAAGCTGGTGATTGATGGTGAAAGATAGGGAAGCTGGTGATTGATAAGGAATGTGGTGAATAGTAGGGAAAGTGGTGACGGGAAGGAAAAAGATACGAAAGAGAGAGATGAGAGTGCGAAATATTGGGAGAGAGAGAGAGAGAGAGAGAGATTGAGAGGTAGGAGTGGGGAAGGGGAGAGAGAGACCCAGGGCACAGCCGGGTATCCCTCGTAGTAACGTAATAAGGCATGGCATTCACCATCCATCCTGGTTGCCATAAGGAAATCATCCTGTTTACAAAGGTAATGAGAGGCTCTTTCATTACATATTTGACACCTGCTTGTCTTGGTCGTCGTTTGTTATTTACTTCCAAACTGAATCCTCCAAAAGTCCTCTCCGTAATAAATCTTTGCCACGTACATCAGAGGGAAGGATAGGGAAGCGCTCCTTCATGTGAACTCCTCCCTTGTGCTGCCTGAACTATACTATGACTAACCCAAGTATTCATCAACTTCGCGTTTGCCTCTTCCTCGCCTTGATTCTTTGCATCATTCAGGTTTGTGTCTGCGCTTCAGCCTTTAGTTATCCGCTCTCCTTTACATTCTTTAACTGGAAGGACAACCTGTTTGCAAGATTCTCTCTTGGTGTACTCTCTCTAAGTAAGACACGCTGAGCTCGTGTCTTACTGTGTTGTCTAGGCTTCCTGGTGCTAGATGAATTATTTTCTTATTTAGCAACGGTACACATAACAGCCTCACATTAATCTTAGAACTCTCTCTCTCTAACGTTTAGGTTAGAAAATACTGGATAAGTAATTTTAAGGAATATTAATAACTGGACAAGAAAAGGCTTATCCGGTAAATAAGCAACAGGTTACCTTGCGATGATTTCTGGGCTAAGCATCCCGGCGTCCCAGACCTCAACCAGGCCTCCTTCACACCTTCAGGTAAAGAGGGGAACTCTGACTCGTGGGATTTTATTATTTATTTTAATTATAAATTAATTGATTAATTTAAATGGATTTTGTTTGAGATGTATAATTATTTATTGATTATTTCTTACGATAGCATAGCAGACTGTATGTTTTATTGAGCGGACTATATGGATTTAAATTCTCCCAAAAGTCATATCCCTACACAATTATGGGGGGGGGGGGGCTATATAATTATTGTAGCCCATCATTCGAGAAGTATCGATTGGCAGGAAAATTTATACTAAAGGTTAATACTACTTAGGTTAGTTTGAGTACTCAATCGCCTTATCTGATTTGAAGGCTACAGTATAGGTACAAGTGTTGTACACGTGGGCAAACAGCCAAATATGGGCCTCGTGGTTATGGTGTCGATACATCCCATGCGTTAGAACAGGTAGATGTCGCTTATTTCCTTAGGTTGTCACAGAAGATCTGCAGGAAGAATACAATTTAACTACTGCAAACACCTTTCTAATCATAGATATGGCATGTAAATTATTATTAGTTACGTGATTGTGAGATGCTCACCCGATTTTGGGTTGTCACCCACCTCTTAACCAGCTGTCATTTATAATATTAAAAGGCCTTATAATAAAATATAGATTGTTTTAGACAAACCGGATGCGAGGTTTTCCCGTTATTTGAGGTAGCGTCAGCAGAAAAAAAGTAGAAATTGCTCCAGTTACGAGTATAAACGTGGCTGCCTAAGGAGCTTCCTCACGAGAGATTTGCTGGTTACACAATGGCCTCCTTCCTCCGTCACCGGGTCTAGTGACGCCACTAGGATTGGTTCAATATCTGCCTATTTATGGACGAAGGTAGGGAGGCGTTGATTATATGATTTAATTCAGTCACATAGAACAAATTGTTATTGTTCATAATGCTGGACTGGATGTTTTAAGTGATCGTTGAATATTTGACGTTGATATTTTATGGCATGGCAATAATATCCCATGATTAAGGGGTAAATTCCACTGTAATCTTGTTTTCTTTGAATGAGTTATAAAATTAATTTGTGTTAGTATTAGTTAATGGATTAGAACAAGAACAGCAACAAAATTAGATGCATTTTGTAACTAAGATTATTAAAGGATGTATTTTTTTCCCCGACAGGTAATAACACTCTCCACCTGTATGCTTTATCCACAAACATTCTCGTGCTCGGGAATGGTGACAAAAAGATTCAACGTCCTGGAAAGTTAGGATAGCTCTTAACAAATCTATGAGCTTATTGTTAAATTTATCGATGTGAAGACCCCCCATGCTCTAGCTTATCTACATGTTACTCATGCCAAATAAAAAAATTGTATCTGATAAATTATTTTGTAATTCAACTGTATCTTTTTTCACAGTTGATGAATCTGGAAACATTGTATCGACCGCCATCCTTGGCTTTATGGATCGTCGGTCCCAGGAAAATGCTCTCTATGTGACACTCCATACTTCGATTGGTCAAAACCTAACTCTTTCACCCAATCACGTCCTCTTCAAGAGTGTCTCAAATTCAAGTCAACCAATCAGTGTCTTCGGGTCGGATATCAATATTGGTGATGTCATATTTTCCGCCAATCAGACTGGGCTCCACCGAACTGAGATTGTTGCTATTGATCACGAAATCTCACAAGGTAAAACTGTTTTGGTTAAGATTTTATTTAAAAACCAATATGTAAAATTATATTATTTTCCAAAATATATTTTGTCATTGAATATTAATTTTAACAGCTCATAAATTTAGATACTTTTAGTTCAAGCTTGAACTATTGTTTTATTGAAGCTATGAAGCTTGCATGACCAAAGGGTTTAGCGATCTGGGGAGTGAAGAACTTGAGGACAAGGACGAAAACTCAGGAAAAAGGAAGAGGACGGCGTCGAGATGGACAGAAAGTTCAGTGGCCTATCTACTGTGGCTTCAAGTAATCACTTCTTTGGAAGTCGTTGAGGGTGAGGAGGAGTGGCTCAGACTTGTCGATGGTGTGCTGTCTCGGAGAGTATGATGATGATAGATCATGTATCCTGTGATGGTAGTTGATGCAGACATCATTGCTCAACTTTCTTCTTGTTTCTAGCATATTTAAGCAATCCTGGATCATTGGTCGTCATGAGCATCTTTGGGGTCGTAGTCTGCCTGCTTGTTGTTATAATGGTGCTTAAGTGAGGCAGTCCGTAAGTGCGGTAGCGCTCACAGTGATGCCCGACACTGGGTCCGGATCTTATGGAGAACTTGTGGCTGGAGTAAAGGTGGTGCAAACTTCATCAGGTAAGGTGAAGGTTGAGAGGCCATTAACAGTACAGAGAATATTCTAAACCCTCACATATTCTTGTTGGTTGGAGCCAGCAATTTTACTAACCACAGTTGACAGAGCTTACACAATACTCTACAGCAATTGGTCGGTGTGAGGTGGTGGTGGCGACTTGTGACTTGGTGAGTGACTGGCAGGCCGGGAGCAGGGCCCCCTATTGGCTCGGATGTTGTGCTGAGGCACAACAGAGCTTCGTCCCGGGAACTCCTGTGAAATGTCGGCTTGAACGTTGAAGTATGAGGCTGCTTCCTGATGGATGGTTGGAACTGAGGCTTTGGAGCTGGTGCCCGCAGCAAAGGTAGAAGGTTTGACTGGCTCCAGGGTCTTGATAATTTCTTGACGGCTTTGGCAGTGGTGGGAAATTGCATGATGATTGTCATTGCATGGAAGGCATCATTGAGTTTCAGACTTGCAGATAGAGTAGTAATGCAACCCGTCCTCTTAAAAATAACGTCACTTTTCGCTCGTATGTGCGCTATGGATAAATTTGGACGTAATTTGAAATGAAATCGACTCACAAAAGTGACGTACTGAACACAAGTAAGCCCTAAGCTGCAAATGGAAACCTCCTAGCTCCCTCCGGGAGTCACGTGACCTCGGGTCATGCCCTGATCGGGTGACTGATGCAAACATTGACCAATGAGATCATCCGATGACATCCAGGGACCTCAAAGTCAAGTCTGACTCTGGTGGACGCGAAATCGTGCATCATGTGAAGACTTCCAAAAAAAATACAGAAGTCAGACATTGCCAACTTTAAAGTTACTCTGGGCTGGTAGGAAGGCGTGAGTGTGACTATTAATGTAGCAGAATGTTACTGGTAACACCGGCTTCGCAACAAAACAACATCAGCGGGATCAGCTATTGGATCGCTGATCGAAAAACACAAGCTGTTCTGCACAACATCGATGAAGAAAACGGGGACATGGCAGTATTAACCGGTGAGCTCTTCAACATGAACACTGTTGGCAAACAACCATCCTTGAAGATAACCTTCACCTTCGTAGCGATGGCTACGCAGGCTACTGCCACTTATAGCTTCCGCTGCTTTGGCATCCTGATACCTCTATAGAAAGTGAAGATTGAACGATACTCCAAGGTCAACCAGTGCTTCCGGTGCTACAAGTACACCCACCCCACCAACAAGTGTCAACTGCCCAACCAAAAGTGCAGCATTTGCGCCGAGGATCATTACTCAACCTGTCCTCTTAAAAAGAACGTCGCTTTTGGCCGTTTGCCCGTATGGCCGAATATGGACGTAATTTGAAAATGAAAAAAAATTAATATAAATTTTGGATTATTTTTTTCAACAACAGTAAGTTAAGGGTCCTCTGATAGGTTAGGTAAGCAGGAAATTCTCATAAAGTTTCAAAACGGTATGAAAAAGGTTAATGGAAAGGATCCTTTACTAAGCTGGCCGAGTAAGCCGGACGACTCAAACAGAAAACGGAACAGTACGTCACTTTTGTGAGTCGATTTCATTTCAAATTACGTCCAAATTTATCCATAGCGCACATACGAGCGAAAAGTGACGTTATTTTTAAGAGGACGGGTTGGTTTCAGAGCTCGATCAGGTCAGATGAGTAGCAAGACGTTCCAAACGTGGGGTTTTACTTCTCAACTCTCTTACCCGATCTAATTCTTAATACAAAACATAAATTAAAAAGACTTTAGTGAAATTCTGAGTAATAATTAATCATAAGAAATCTGAAGAATTAAATAATATAATTTACACAATAGACTACAGTTAATACTGTATAAGACCTTCTGCTACTTAATTTGAATATCAAAAATGAAAACCCAAGTGCACATAGCTGGGTACGATGATAGTGTCACATGGCCCACTGTTGAGGAAGAGGCTATAGAATGCAGGTATCCTACCGCTTCTTGCACACCTGCCAAGAAGCCTCACATCAATATAGATGAATATAAAGTTAAATCAAGTGCAGCTAGGCACCGATTCTTTGTCTTGAACGTAATCCAGACAAATAAAACAGCATTTGTGAATAACTTTGCCTAAAGAATTCAAGATAACTCTTTGGGTGGAAAATTAATTGACTAAAAATAAATTATAAAAATTTACATTATATGGGAATATTATATGTAATTAAAGCCAACAATTATTGTCAACTCAATTATTTTGGGTATAAAGTTCCACGATATAACCGGAGCTCTATAAGAAATAGTTAAGTGACATACAATATCATTATTTCAACAATGTAAAAACTTTCACAAGTATTAATGTTAATAGAGACTGTAGCGCTCTTGTCAACTGGTCTGGTGGTCGACTGAATTCTCCATATGCAGTTGTAAGCACAGTAGTGTGTGCAAGAAGCTCGGAACATGTGGCAACCCGGCTTGGGTTTAGCACATCTTGTAGCACTAATTTTGTCAACAAAAGTTAGTTAGATAGATATGTCCCTGAAATAACACTTATTAATCGTATGATCAAAAACAAAGCATATAGTTCCTAATTATGGGATAAAACACTCTGTAGGCTCCAGCACCATGTGGGTCAGTAACAACAGGTGTGTGAGTTGGCGAGATAAACGCGTCTCCCCATCTACTCAGCTGAGATTTTGAGGGAGTATTGATTTACATAATTTAATTTATAATTGATCACTAATATGCTTATTAAATTTAGTAAATACATTAGCATTACGTTAATGGACATTTGATAAGTTATAATTAATATTACTAATTTTGGATCAAATAAAAACCATTGTTAGCAATGTAATGAGATTGCAGGCCGGGCATGAGTGAACTCGTCTGGGTAGCGCCCAGAGATGCCCAGGGCGAGAGTTTACATTTGGAACACTCTACATAGATGATTTTTACTGTGGATATTTTCTTTCCCCATATGTGAACAAAAAATTAATCTTTAATTACGGAAGCTGAACTTCATCAAAGGAGTGTGATGGCACACCACAGTACGAGTGAGTGGCGTAACACCAACTGTACGAAGAATTACCTGCGCTGACAATATTTAGTAGTGTGTTGTCGGAAAAGCATACACCATTTATTAATATTCAATACAATAAGCAGATAATATTGCTGCTGAGTTGTATATATAAATTCACTCAGAGAAGACGTGGCGCAGTGGAATTTTCCTCCCGTAGAAAACGGAGATATCATTGCCATGTCGCTATTAAATTCACCAGCTATTGTGCTGGGAATTATTCTTAATACAGCAGTCTTTGGACTTTTAACATCATAAAATATCTCACTTGAATCAACTTAATTATTAGTATCAAAATAGAGTAAATATGACCTTTCTACCACTTATTGACATCTGGACAAAGAGAGCCCAGGGCGTTAGTGGAGGAGGGCCCATAGTCAGCCATTGTTGTTAAGATATCAGGACGCTATAACGAGTTCAACTCCAATAATTCTCCATTGGACGAAATGTTATGGAGAGTAAATTAGTGCTTCTTCCATCATCAACATGCATTCATCACCTAAATAAGGGAAGGGTCTTTCCGAAATCTTATCTAGCCAATCCTTGCCAGTAATGTTAGGTAGATAGGATTATTTCCGGTTAGATCACATGGCAGCAACCGACCCTGAGTGAGTAATATTCTCATCTCTTTATCAATTTACCAATATTTTCTCTGTTATAGCTGTCATATATATATAGGATTCCTGCTATTATTGCATGTGCCCTTTGACAGGAATAATTGAAGAGGAAGAATAATCACTAGTATCCTAGTAACCAGTACATGAGTTGGGGTGAAGCCACACCTACAAGGTGGATCGACTGGCATATTCATCCATGTTCCTTCTGGTTGTCTAGGACAAAATCAGCCATTTAAGATAAGGCCTCCAAATCTTAATTAATAATATATGTAGATTAATATTGTAGTTTGATTGACTGCATATATAAACAATACATCTCCCTAATGAGCAAGGAGATCGATTTATGAAAATTTGCAGAAATACAGTCCACTAAACATCATACAATTGCTATCGAAATATATAAATTAACGTAAATATAAGTTCTATATAAATTCATATAAATTGAATAAATATAAATCTCACAGGTCCGTTCCCCACATGTGTCTAGGATGCACTCTGTGTGACGAGTATAGCCACATGATTTGATCAAGTGAGGATCTAGGATTACTGTTTCCTGTACCAGGCTAATAATTAAGAAGTAAGGAAGAATCAAAAGAAGACGACAAGCCGGGGTTAAAGTGGTTCAAGAAGGCTGCCTCGGTTCTTTGTCAGAACAATGCCAACAGTTAAAATCACGCAAAAGGAGCACAGGTTCAACACGCACAAAAGGAGTACAACACGAGTTTAAGATCAGGAAGAGAAACAGGAAC